TAGAAACCACGGACGACATAACAGACCCGACACCCTACTTTCCCGATTCCGACATCAGTAGCTTGCGTACCTTCATCCGTGAACTAGTCACACAGTCCATAATACCCAATATGGAGCGCAGCGTCTCAACCTGGAACGAGCAGATCCTGTCCCGACGCCGCGGTCTGTCTGGCCGCTTCATGTCTCTATCAAAACGTTGGACACCCTTTGGCGGCTCAAGAACCTCCTCATCATCCTCGACTGCATCAGGGAACTCCAACTACGACAGCCTACAGGGATTCTACCGTCCCGACGCCCCCGAAGCCATCATGCGACGGCTAGCAGATTATTGCTTTATGCTGCGCGATTGGAAACTGGCATTGAGCACTTACGATATTCTAAGGACAGACTTTCAAAACGACAAAGCATGGCGGCATTACGCTGGTGCTGCTGAAATGGCCGCTTTGTCGGCTCTCATGGCACCCACACCATTGTCCTCCAAATCTCGCGCTGAAAACATCGATGCGTGGATAGAAGCTGCATCGTACTCGTATACCGACCGCCAGCGCAGCGCAGCGCCGTACTATGCTCTCCGCACCCTCGCCCTCAGCTTCGAGCTCCTGCGCCTCCGTGGCTCCTCGGCCGCAGACGACGCCGCACGCTGGGCAACCCGCATTTTAGAAACAGGTCTTGTGGGCTCGATAGGCCACGCCCTCATTACAGAACGCATCTCAGCTTGCTATGCTGTGCGCACTGGCGTCGGCATGTACAAACTAGGAAGCCGACGTCGGAAAGCAGCGCTTTGGGCTGTGCTTGCCAGCGAGAACTGGTACAGACTGGACAAGTCGCAACAAGCGGAACGCGCCCTCGACACAGCGCTCAGGCTATACAACACCCAAGCTGAGAACGCCGATGGAGGAGCCGTTAGACTACCGTTTGAGGACATGCAGCGATTTGTGGATGAGTTGAGACAGCAGATCATGGGCTTGAGGCTGGCAAATCAGGGTTACGGTAGTGAGCATGGAGAGGGCGATGAGGACGGTAGGCAAAGTCCGGAGGTGGAAGAGGAAGCTGAGACGTTGGATAAGAGCCCGCGGTTGCATAGGAAGAGCTTAATTGGGGTTCAGGTGCCACCTGTTGATATAGTGGGGCCTCTAAGTCCAGCGCTTGAGAGACCGAAGGGCGAGGTGGACGCCAAGGGTGAGGGATTTGAATAGACGGTAGATATGCATAATGCTCATAACGATCAAGACGTACTCATCGATAGCTTCACGCATGCTGAACATCACACACACAAATCAAGCAAAGACAAGTCAACAGCAGTAATGGTTTCTCATTTCTAGGTTCAGTCATATCCCAAGAGATGAGCCATCATCATCCATGTGGAAACGCAAGCGTAACCCCCAAACGCCAAAGCCAGTGAACAGAGCGCGGCCCAAGCACTTTGGCACCCGTCAGTCATGCTGGCATATGCAACGATGTGTAACAGACAGCCCCTGCCAATGCTCGTATGCTATGCAAAGAAGGAAAAGGAAAATAACCCGGGAATAATAAGCGCCCAATGTTATGCTGGGGTATCATCATCAGCGTCATCAATGTGAACCGTGAATCGGTGTCCGTCGTCGTAAGGCCATGATGCTACCAAGCCTACTAGGCGGTAGCAGCGGGTGTGGTCTCTGCCACAGCAACACTCTTGGGTGCTGCGGGAGCCGTCTTCTTGGGCTCTGATGGGGTTTGTGTGGAAGGTGGTGCGGGCGTAGGTGCGCGAGAGGTCGTGCAGGATGGAGTAGGGGAGGAGGTATCTGAGGTGCGAAGACCGCGGAGCTTGATGGTGAGCTTAACCTTCACGGGCTCTGGTTGAGGAATTTCAGTGTTGGACCGCTGCGACGCTGCGAATCCGTTTGATTCATCTGACGAGCTCTCGGTGCCCTCTGGTGTAGAGTCGGAGTCGAAGAGCGGCAGAGGCGAGCGGCGCTTTCGTGAGCGGCGGCGCTGGTCATCATCGTCACCGTCGACACTAGGGCTAGGTCGCTTCTTGGAGATGACCTGGGGTACGATGTTGACGTCAGGGGGGCCGCTGTGAGGTCCGGCGATATTGCGGACGGAAGAGTAATGCTCCCAAGTCTAATTGGCACGTCAGTACTGTGCCAGCGGGGTAGGCAGTGGTGGCATGACTTACGTGATAGGCAATGTGAAGTGTCTGGCGGCTATCCTGAGCAGCCAGGCCCTCGTTCGACGTGTAGCATGTGCGGGGCGAGAAGAGGTAGGTGTAGTCAGCCTGCCAGAGGCGGACATTGACGTTGAGGGCAGAGGCAAATGCTGAGACTTCCATGTTGTCGGCCCACTCGCCGGGCTGGCCCATCTTCTCGACATGCTCTTCAAACTGCTGTTGCAGCTGCTCGTCGGTGTAGCAAGTGGTGTCAAGGCGGTTGGCGGCAGCTGCTGCAGTCTTGCGCTTGGGGTTCCGTCGCACCGTGTTGCAGGCCATGTACTGGCGGTAGAAGTCGGCGCTGTCCTTCATGTGCTCTATGGTGGTGGTGCGCAGCACCTCGTGCATATCTTGGTTGCCGTAAAGCTGGTCAGACAGGGCGTTGAAGAGGCAGTTGCCTTGGGCAAAGTCAGCCTTGAACATGGAATATGGGGTAATTAAGCTCACCATCGCCGCGGATCTGGCTGGCATACAGGGCATTGGCCTCGAGTATGGGGAATTCAGGCGAGTTGGCCCGCTGTCTTCGGGTAGCCATATTGGCGGTGGTGTATCAAGCGTGCGTGTTGGACAGGAGAAGTCGGTGTAATGCAAAGAGGAAGGCACAGGAGTGGGGTGACGGGGTCATGGATGAGGGTTGAGCTTAGGTGCGACAGTTGCTATTGTAGAGAGGGCTGGGCCGGCCACGCCAAGTTGGTGAAGGTCGTGGCCGGTGAACGTGAATGATGAATATCTTTGTGACGCGCCCGAACTCTTGAGGCTCTCGAAGGGACACGGCGACAGGGATGGCTCAGCTTGGCGGGTCGCAGGAACAACGATCTCCGCCCCGAGTCAGGACAGCTCGCGCTCAGGAGCCTGGAGAAGTACAATCAGACGTCAGCCAACCAGACACCGGGACAGCGCCTTCTTGTACTTTTCAAACGACAGAAACTAAAGCTCCAGATGGTACGGAAAAATCTTCGGCCTACATACCTCGGAGCCTGCAATGATGTCACGGACCACAGAGCTCCCCCAGCTAGCCGATGGGGCAGGCCCGACTGTTTTTCGCGATATATCGGCGGTGAAGGGCAAAAAGCGCGTGCAAGTGGGCGAGAACCGAGTTTGCTCAATAATCTGGACAATAGCACAAAAGTGAAGGGGGCCGGGGCCAGCGTTATAATAGCTTTAGAATAGCAAGCAGGCCAGTTGGTCAGTAAACAAAGCTCGCATGTGCGCACGCGTTTTGTCTCGTGTGCGGGAAGGAGCCAATAGGCGAGCCGGGGATACAAGGCATGACCCCGCCATCCTCATCAGGCTCCGCATCCACGGCGATAGCAAGTCCTGTTCAGTCACCCCACGGCATATCACGGGTGCGTCAAGGCAGCCATCGCTCTGACTCTGAGCTGCCACCATGGCCAACCAGAAGAATGTCGTCGTTGTCGGGTAAGCTCGCCTATCAATGCTGTCATGATATTTTGTGTTGCCCCTCCACGTCCCGTAGTAATATGTACTCATCCTCGCCTATGACTCTCCAACATGTCTAATCCGTCTTGGGCGGCAACCTCAAGACCGCACTAACACCACCCCAGAGCAGGCGTCATCGGCCTCTCCACAGCCCTCGTGCTCTCCAAGCACAAGGACCTCAGCATTACCGTCGTAGCCAAGCACATGCCCGGCGACTACGACATAGAATATGCATCACCCTGGGCTGGAGCAAACTACTTTCCTGTCGGCAAGCCAGGTTCCAATCTGCAAAGGTTCGAGAAAGCTACCTGGAGTGAGCTCGATCGAATCTGTCGTGAAATACCCGAAGCAGGCATCCACTACCAGGCGACGAGGGTCTATGGGCGGGAGAAAGATGCAGGCACCGCTACAGGGCAGTGGTTTGAAGAGCTGACCAAAGAAGACGCATGGTTCAAGGACGTTGTGCCGAATGTATGTAGAGCCTATCCCAACTCGGTGTCCATACACTCACCTACGTTGCTTGCGTGAAGCCATGCTGATGCTTCTTAGTTCCGCGTACTGTCCAAATCTGAACTCCCAGAAGGCTGTGACAGGGGCACGGAGTTTACTTCAGTATGCATAAACACTGCTGTATATCTTCCCTGGATCGTGGGACAGTGCGTGAAGACTGGTGTGACCATCAAGCGCGGTATCCTCTCCCATATCTCTGAAGCAGGCAGCTTCCATACCTCGGGGCATGCAAATGCCGTCGTGAACTGTACTGGTCTTCTAGCCTCCACACTCGGAGGCGTCATGGACCGTAACGTTTACCCTGGACGTGGTCAAATTGTTCTAGTGCGGAACGAGCCTGGTGTCATGGTCACAGTAAGCGGAACCGACGATGGCAGTGAAGAGGCTACGTATATTATGCAGCGCGCAGTCGGTGGTGGGACAATCCTCGGAGGCTGTCTACAACACCACTCTTGGGAATCGCAACCTGACCCCAACCTCGCACAGCGCATCATGCAACGCTCCATCGACCTGTGTCCTTCGCTAGTACCGAAGACTGGAAAGGTGACCGAGCTGAGTGTCATTAGACATGGTGTTGGTCTGCGCCCTATGAGGACTGGAGGTCCAAGGGTCGAGAGAGAGAAGATTGATGGAGTTGAAGTAGTGCATAGCTACGGACATGCTGGCTATGGATATCAAAGCGGATGGGGAAGTGCGTGGGAAGCAGAGAAGCAAGTCCTGGACATCTTGGATGGAGACAGGATAAAAGCGAGACTGTAAACGTGCCCACAGAGCCTAGATTTGGCCGGCCATGATAACGGATAGTAAGAGACAGCTATCGAAAGGACGGGCTATAGTAAGACTGTCCCCGTCAAACTCCTACTCACCTGAACTTCCTTGGTTTCTTCGACCCAACGACGTTCAAGACTGTCTTACTTCTCCGGAGATGACCTGGTCCCAGAGGCCGTGTATCTGCAATCTCGCCATCGTCTACCTTTTCCACGTCTTTTGGCTTTCGTTTCCATGCACGTCGCCCGCGCGATAGCTTCTCTGATCCCCACATAGCATCGCCCATCGCGCGTACCTTAGCCCACATGTACGTTCCATGATATGCGATCATCAAGGAGAGTCCTCCAATCAGCGTTGTGGCAGGAATGGCAATGACCCAAAAGAGAGCTTGCGAGCTGCTCATGTCTCTTATATCTGTAGTGTTCGTGCCGAATACGGAAGAGATGAAAGAAAGAGGAAGAAACACGATTGTCACTAGAGTAAATACCCTGATGGCTTTCGAGTTGCTTTCTTCTGAGACTTCAACGTTGTGGCGGAGCACCTCCTTAATCTTATCGAACGACGCCCGTATTTGTTTTATTCCTGTAAGGGTTGCCCCCATACCAACAGGATCATCAAATATGTGTGTCATGAGGGGAAATGCGATGTCTTTGTAGGCTCTGTAGCACTCTTTGGTCGCGATGCGATAGCTCCAGGGATAGATGACGTCGTAGCAATCATTGATCATGCGGCGTTGTTGAGCACATATGGAGGCTACCATCTCGAATTCCTCTTCCAAGAGGTACAGTTCTCGAAGGGCAAGCTTCGACGGCCGCCGGTTAGCTTTGTATTGCTATGTCTTGTTAGGGTGTAGTTCTCTGGCTGAGGTAAAAGGTGCACATACCATGACCGAAAGATTCTCTCTGTACAAGTCAGGCACAGATAGATTCTGCGATATTGTTCTTGACCAAAGATGGATGAGACATATGAACAGAGTAACCTTAGGAGTACTGCGGAAGTTTTGCACCGCTCCCCTATGGCTGCCGGTATGCGCCATGATCATTAGCTCTTTACGCGCTGATGAAAGCGCGGTAGAAGCTGCTGAGCCAAAGTAGGAAAGCAAACTCATATGAGTTTTGAGTTCGTTCCGTGAAATAGAAGGCATCGTATCGGCTTTGTCGAAATTGTGCATTTCTCGGACACTATACCCGCAGGTATCGATCGTCTGGAGAATCTTCTCTGCTGCTTTCACAAGCGACAGCGGTAGGAGGTATTCGCTCGGCTTTTCGTCTCTCTCATTTGCGACACTGTTGCGAATATCAATTGCTTTAGAGCGCAACGCCTCAATACGCAGTGCCAGGGCACTGAGATACTCGAAGATGAGATCGTTTTTCTCCTCCACATTAGCCAGCTGAGACGACATAACCCAATGAGATAGCTGTGTCCGGGAGTAATGTGAAGGTTGATCTGTTTTGCTAATGTGGTCGCGTCGCAGATGTTCGAAAGCTTCATCCGCGTTCGAATAATACCTCGCCCGCTCACAAATGTCACACTGACCTATGGGAGAAGGCAGGACAGAAATCTTGTGTAGCTTCGCATATTCTTTGTGAGGAAGTTCACGGATTGCGTAAGTCGATTCTAAGCCCAACTTCTCCCGATCTTGTAACATAGAGCTCCTGATGCTCATGAAAGCAACGATCTGCGGAGATTGTGTAAGTAGCATTTCATAGTGTACGGCCCTCTGACGCGTTCAGAAAGATTAATTACCTTGATGATGTACCTGAGCACACCCCAGCATCTGCGCAAGAGCTGATGGTCGTAGTACTTTGGTACAAATTGGTCCATAACCTCCATAGTAGATTGGAAAATGCGTTGTGTGTGTTTGTACATCAGAGCTGTCTGCCATTGTGTGACCCTTCTCGCCGTGACATAGGTCTCACCTTCTGCATCGATTTGAACATCACCTGACATGTCGCTGTTGGCAATGCCGGTGCCCGAAACAAGTACCTGGATCAGGCCATTTGTGTCGTCCATTACAGTTAGCTCGTTGCAATCGGTGGTGCCTTTAACGACTCTGGTAGAGGCCTCGTAACAGGACACTAGTGATGCCGAGACATCTTCTAAGGAGGAATCTTCGACATCGGTGAAGGGCGCACCTGATTGATACAAGTGTACGAATGGATGCGCAGAGTCGATTGGTAATCTTGCTACATCCGTTCGCGTCCTGGTCAGCTCCTGTTCAATAGCAAAGAGAGTAAGCTGTATGTAGATACTCTCATCGTTATTCTGCTCTGCTGCGTCTTCTGTTGTTTGCCAGGCAAGAAACGGTGGAACACGAAGACCAGTATTAAGTCTTGTAAACTTGGGACTTGGAGAAACCTCTCGTGTTCGATACGTCTTGGCTGTGCGATCTTTGCCCCCCGAGCTTTTACGTGAAGCTCCACTATTCTATTGCAGTCAGCGCTGACACAGCTAAGCGTTTCGATCAACAAGTGCTTACACGGTCAGATCGAACAGTGTCCATGGGCGGACGTTGCTCTTGCCGCTCTTGTGTTTGAGCGCGCGATCGCTCTTCCCGCTCGCTTTCGGAATGTGCGTTCAGATGACGTTCGCGTGTGTGATCAAACATGGGCACTAACTCATCTCTTGTCATATGTGGGAAGATGATCCAGTAGTTGGGATCGTATGTCATGCTTGAATCGGACATTGAAATGAAACAAAGTGGCCTCGTCGAGCTGACTCGTAGGTACTCTTGTATAGTTAGATAGGGGTTGGTCTTCCCCTTCCGTTGTTGTCTCATTCCCTTGTTTGACGATAGCTTCAATAAGGTCTGGAAGAGAGTCAGCTTTGGCGAGTCGACCACGAAGCTCAGGTCCCAGTTGCTTCTGAACATCGCGGTTGACCTGGTCAGTGTTTTGTTTTAATGCAGTAGCAACTTCTTCGCTTATCAGCCCTTTGAGATCTTTGACCTGTAGTCACACGAGTGCCCTTCGGTCCCCATGGTTCTCTTCGGCTTTGAGACGTCTCTCTTCTTCTTGTGTCATTTCTAGATCATCCTGTAGCTACGGATCTGATCCAATGAGCTCCTCCTCCTTTATGCCTTCTTCCAATGGTCTCGAGAGATCTTGCGTGGTAACGAACGACTCTGTTCGACTTTGTGGAACGACAGTTCTGGCTTTTATTCCGGGTCTCACGCCATCTTCACTGTCTGATATCGCATTTCGTATCGCTCCTAATGTCGCCTCTTCCTCTCCAGACTCGAAATGATCTCGCTCGTGGGTTGAGTGAGATGATAACGACAACGAACTCTGAGCATCTTCCTTTGTGTATTCTCGCGTATCGTAGACATCAGCCGTAAGTTCGAAAGGGCTGGGAAGCTTTTCGTTGTCTTCTACGTCAATGCTGTTTGGTAAACAAGATTCCTTTGGACTGTGGGACGACCCGACTGGATCATAATTCGACGACGCATTACCGACTCCCTCCGCGCACGATGAAGCCTCATCAGAAGTTTTATTGCTGCCAACAACGGACCCATCCAGACTCCTGCTAATATGAACAGCGTTTTCGCTCTCATATGTAATGGCCCTGGCGACATGAAGGCCGTCATATGCGAAAGACGGCCTAATCATACGTGTTGGACGGCGGAATATGACCGGTTTCGGACCAGCAATACTGTTGCTGCGATCCATGAGTAAGCTGGGGTCATTCACCATGTAGCCCTGCCTTGCTAAACTCTCACTCGGTCCAACAAAGTAACTGGCTTGGCGACCTTGCTCGGCATCGTTGCTGTATATAAATCAGCAGTAGGCCAAGAATGAATCCGTCCGGCCAGTAGTCGCTTACAGAGGTCGCCTTACGATAAGCGCCTGAGTCTCGTTATCGTCTGTGGAGTCACAATCAGAGCGCAGATTACCGTACTCAATCGTTCTTGGTTCACTACGCAAACCATCGACCGAAGAGATAGCCCGGCTCGCGAATTTCCGGCTGAGGCGCAGAACAATCATTGCAGATCGTTCGCATTTCATGACGTGTGGCCATTGATCTGCCTCCAATGCTGCTTCGTCTGACCCAACATGTATGACATAGTCTTTATTATCTCTTTCGCTGCCATCGAGACACTTACTCTCGATATTACGACAAAGTGCGACGTATGTTGAGCACAGCTTGAGTGGGAGGTATGCGACTTGTCCGTAAAAATCGGTAACATGAACCAGACTTGGTCCGTCTGCAACAAGGTAGTTCTCAGAGATGAACTCGACACCGTCTTCGAAGAGCTCCTGAAGAGCACTTGGTCCGCAGGTGATAATCAGGTGGGACTGTACGACCATAGACCAAAATTGAGGAACTCGCAGACAGTCTCCCTTTCTCACATGCTTAAATTTTCGAAACACTTGTTCGTCATCCCGACCCTGCGCGCCTTCTTGCGGGTATCTATACTGGAACAATCCTCTATCACACCATCCGGCATCATGTCAGTGCATCGTTTCGCATATACAGCCAATGGAAGTTATACACTTACCGGGTTTCGTGTAGTGATGTATCTTTTGATGCACGAGAGGGATTGAGCGCACTGATGTCAAAGTACGGGAAAGAAACAAAGATAGCAGATATGTCAGGTTTATCGGATCGTGCATGATCGATTCCGTCGCATCGCAGAACAGTGTCCGATCGTATATAGCTGCCGTGGGGGGTTCGCTCTTCGAATTCATCTTTTATGTGCCTCAAAAGATATCCCACGACCGGAGTCGCGTCTTCGTCATAGTCGAGCACAAAGTTGAGTGTGGCGCTCTTTTATAATTGTTAGATTGGCATCAGTAATCTTGGGGTAGAACTTGTACCTCAAACGCCTCGAAGCTTATACAGTCAGTCTGAATGTGTCTGCATATCGTCAGTAAGTGCCAAGAATTGGAAGAATTGACTCACAGCCAGCGCTCAGGTGTCGCATCCTTCGTCCCAAGGATATCCCGTTCTGACCTAGTGATGATCCGAAGCCGCTGAGCTCCTCCATCAGCTGGCGGGTAGACCATTGATGCCGCGACAGCGAATTTGTGATGATTATGCATCGGGGCCGCTTGAAAACGTGTCGTTGCTCTTCTTGCGGCCAGAACGCTTTGGTCCAATCCGTCATTGTCCAGCCTGATCTTGATGATCTTTTCATCATCGTCTGGGCTGTAGCTCAAACCATCTGCGTCTTGCGCCATGGTATCGGCTTGTTGTGGATGACAAATAACTTTCGGTGTCAGAATTGGAGTCAGAGGCGTAGGTAGACTCAGGATGGTGATAGAGGAGGGAATGCGCGTTGACACAAGCGCCCGTCCATCTGTGCCACCGAACACTAAGCGGCCCCCAGCCCCCACCTTCGCAGCAGGGTATAGCGCCCTGCAACGCCTCTATAGTACATAAGAATTGCAGGGTATAGCGTCAGACTTTGATAGGCCAATGGTTAAATGCCCATGGTCATTCGCGCCACTCGTCACAGCTGGAAGACAGGGGCGATTATCGTACTCCGTGTAAGGGGCAATCAAGGACATAAGACGTTCCAGCTTGAGTAATGGACCAAAAAAACAGATTCAAGATGAAAGGCATAGAAATTGCGTTAAAGACCAAGAGTCGTATGTTAATCCCAGGTAACATGTACTCAGCATGGCGGTTGAGCCGCTGTTGTCGCGAAGCATGTCTTGATCTCATCTACGGCTGGCTTCAGACTCTTCGATGGTAATGTCCAGTCGTGACGCTTCAACCCTCCTTCGTGAGCCAAGTACCAGAGAGTCTCCGCTGTTGTGATGCGTACCTAGACATCATTAACGTAAGCCAGCGACAATAGATTGTCTTATGCATACCTTCGGGAACGGATGTAACAGCATGCTCACAGCTTTGGCTAGCGTATCGCTCCTGGTCATTGGGATGACACCTAAGCCCCGATACACATCCAGCGCGAGGTGAAGCTTTTGCATATGCGTGGACTTGAAGTGTGCTTTTTGCGTATATGAAAGAAGTGATCGGAAACTAAGACGATTAGCGCATGCGCATATGGAACACCAAGAGAGAGCTCTTACTTGAAAGACGTCGACTGAAGACGCTGCATGATCTGCATGTCAAACAAGAAGGCGATGACCTCTAGTAGCGGAAGCAAAACTCTGTCGTTGGTGATGTTGTTCTTCAGGAGTGTCAGGACGCAGTTTGCAAAGTCAACCAAGGCAAACTGCGTAACGTCGGATGTATCTTCGTCTTGTAGCATATCGACAAAGTCTAACAAAGCTGCTCGTGAGTTCTGCACCACAGATTCGGAGCCCATCCCCGCGGAGCTGACAAAACCAACACAGATAGCTTCCCTGATCGCGGGGGTTTTGGTTTTTTGTAATGACATCAGTGCATTCAGGAAGTAGGTCCGAGAGGAGACCTCGTCTGTGGTCGCGGCGCCAGCTTCTCTCAGCTGGAGGACTTGAGCGGCGTTCATGCGCATCTTATCAAGCTTTTCGAGAGATAGTCGAACGATGTCGGCGTAGATATCGTACTCGCGTTCATTGCGTTTCTCGGTGAGAATTCCATTTGCCCAAGCCAAGCGAACGGTATTCAAGGCCTCGAGTCGGACGAGTGACCCAACATCTCCCCGTTCTGTAATGGTATAGTCGTTAAGTGCAATGTGCAAGGCGCTCGCAATCTGGTCTTCTTCGTCGGCAGCAAGCTGAGTTGATTCAGGGTTCTTGCTCCCAAGCAAACAACGCAAAGCACGTAATGCCACCGTTCGGGCCTCGATAGCCACAGCTGATGTGCACCTGAACGTAAGCACCTTTACAATGCGCCGCTGGAGGACGTCCCTTTCAGTGTCGGATGCCAGGCTGTCCAAGCTGCCATGCGCAGCTCCCAGAGCGATCGCATGTCCGGAACATCGCGACCCATTGTACGATGCTTCGTTCTCCAAACGAAGCAGCCATGACATAACGACGCCAAATGTGTCAGACCCCGGTAACCTAGGTAATAATGAGACTATTGCAGGGATTGCGGCAGCAATAGCATCGAGGACTGACTCCTCATGACGCGCGAGACAAAGGTCCAATACATTACAAACCTGTGCCACAGGTAGGCTTCGGGGCCAGAGCTTGCTGGCAGTTCCATTGGTGAGTCTCGAGATTGCCCCGATGAATGTACATACTGATGATGCGGTGAACTGGGGTCGCAATGCCGGCGAAGTGAATGCCTTGTCCTCAAGATCTAATTCTCGTGAGAATAACGTCCAAAGGGCCATCAAGGACGCACATGAATTTTCGGGCGCTTGGTCCACATGCATAGCTACTGCCGTGTCAACGAGGGTCGCAAGAGCAGTCACTAAACCTTGACGCTCTTCAACCTCGCGAGGTCGCAACGCCGTAAGCTTGCCGCGGACCTGATCAGACATCTTCTGCACTACCGCAGGAGACCGAGCCTTGGAAAGAGACCCGATGGCCCCAGCTGCAAATAGACGTGAGTCTGAATCTAACGAGCCGGTTCCTCTCCAATCTAAAAGACCACCGAAGAGGGCCTCCCAGTACAGAGATTGTAGTTCTCCAGCCTTGATCGCCACGTCGCACATTGCGCGCTGGCGGAGCCCGACAGCGTGGAAGTCGACTATCTGTACGAGCGATATGCCCTCTTCTATTGTATTGGGGTGGCGACCTATAAGTTCTTGAAGCGCAGCAGATGAGCCTCTTCTGATGTTGCCTGCTGGATCGAGACAAGCAGCAACTACCAATTCGATTGCCAACACTTGAGGCACGTGTAATGATCTGAGGTGCTCGGAAGCTCTTATTGTCGCGGTTTCGACCGCAAGGAGGTCAGTGGTGGGGTAGCGGCGAGAGAGCGCCCAAATGCCGAAGCAAGCTGCATCGCGTACGTTCGTACCGATGGACCCTCCAG